ATCATGAGCTTGGGTAGAATTTTGGACTGTGATGATGTGAGTACCACTCTTAAGAGCATGAAAGGAAATATCTCTACCAACGTGGTGTAGGAGCGCTTTGCCAATACTATGGTCGGAAAGATAGGCAGTAGAAGAAGTCGGTCTTAAAGTAAAGAATTTAGTCCATTGTGTGGTCTGAAACAGTGTGTTGAGAGGGAGTGCATGACGTGTCGGTCTTTTCCGAGTAGAATGGGAAGGTAACGAAGTAACATCATCAGGAGATTGTCACTGGCATTTAGAAGTGGGACCAGAGTCGGTCCGACATGGGACGAGCTGGCGATTTGAAAATCGCCGCACCATAGAGGGAGAGGTCGGAAGCATAGTCAAAGGAGAGCAGAGGTCAGACAAATCGAAGGAGTCAGTCGAAACCCCGGTACCTGAAGCAGGTGATGAAACAGCACCAGCAAGAAGTGCAGGAGCCTCAGGAGTGTCCGAAGAGTGGCCAAAGGATGAGGTGAGGTCAGAACAGGGTGCAGTAACAATAAGGGTCCCGGGGAAAGTGGGGTCGTGGATCAGGTACTCCATGGTTAGGTTACTTCTTTCTTTTTGTTTTTAAGAAAAAAAAAAGAAAAAGAAAAAAAAAGAAAAAAAGAATAAAAAAAGGAGGGACCGGGGAGAAATAGTTCCTAGGAGGAGTGAAAGGGCCAGAAATCTCCCTCCGTGCCCAAGAGGACCTCAGCACCGCAAGTAGCACAGATGCAGCATGGAACCCATGCCATACCCTAACCTTGATGCCAGTAAACCAGCAATCCAGGATAGCAACCTCACATCTGCCGAGCTACCTCAGTGGACAAAAGAGAGGGCGGCCAGATAACCGCCACAAAGCATACCTCCTTCGGCCACCACCCCCGGAATCCGAAAGGTGACTTCCAAAGATACACCCGTTGCCCGAAAGACACCCAAAGCCACCCTCCAGGATACTGGAGAGGGATCGGGACATTCCCAGGTGATTCAGATTCCATGGCAAACTACGCCACTGCCAAGAACCTCAAGAGAATGGTATTGACCCCGGTACCCTTTCCCCTACCTAGGAACTAGCGCGCCTGTGGGAAAAATCCCAAAGGTCAAAAAGAGGAAGGGCAAAAGGGAGGGATGGGAAGGAGGAGTAGAAAAGGAAAAAGGGGAGGATGGGGAGGATAGGATAGGGAAGGGGGGATTGGGGGGTAATTAGGTTTGGTCTCAGAAAGGAGGCCAACAGGTCTAATTCCTCAGACCAAGAGCCTCTTCACCACACCAAGGAGCCCTCCTTGAAGAGGTACTCTATATATAGCAATTCATGACCCTTGTGGGGTTAGTGCTTTTTATAATAATAATAATATTATTATTATTATCTTCATTCACTCTAAAAATGGTGTGTTGCTGTTTGTTTATTCTGTACTAACTTGCACAACTTGTACACAATGTAAGAGTATTTGTACTGTGAGGTAATTATCATAATAAAAAAAATATTGAGGTAAATGTTTTACAAACTCTTACAGATGTACGTGAATGAACTAAAAGTAGACATATTAATACACGTTTATTTCACCTGACCAAGTGATGGCCGACTACCTATTCAATTTGTGTTCTTACATTGTCTCAACTCTGTATCTCGTTCTCTCTCTCATTTACTCTTTCATTAACTATGAAAGTTAAGACACATGTGCAACATCTGGATATCTTTATTGTAGACGTTTTGCCATCCAGTGGCTTTATCAGTACAGATTCTTGGACATAATTAGTAGACAGTAGAACTATATACAAAAGATGAGGTAATCAGTCCCTCAGCTTTGGATTTAGTGTTCACAGCATCGTGGTGGAGGAGAATCTGGAGTAAAGGCAAGAAGACTGGCGGTTATATAGGTGTCAGTGGATAACGACATGTAGCAGATGAGGGCATAGTCACTAGTAGACGGGATTCTCCAGTGGAAGTAGGTCCTACCCAAAGGGGGTTAGTAGTAGCAGCCATGAAGAAGGTCTTGTAGATGTCCTCTGAACCAAGATTCCATGATGTTGCAGTGTCTGACAAATTGTGCAAGAAAGGTATAAAATACTGACAATATGAAAGATAAGACACATGTGCAATATCTGGATATCTTTATTGTAGACATTTTGCCATCCAGTTGCTTTATCAATACAGATTCTTGGACATAATTAGAAGATAGTAGAACTATATACAAAAGATGAGGTAATCAGTCCCTCAGCCTTGGATTCAGTGTTCACAGCATCGTGGTGGAGGAGAATCTGGAGCAAAGGCAAGAAGACTGGCAGATATATAGGCATCAGTGGATAAGGATGTGTAGCAGATGAGGGCATAGTCACTGGTAGGTGGGATTCCCCAGTGGAAGTAGGTCCTACCCAAAGGGATGGGTTAGTAGTAGCAGCCGTGAAGAAGGTCTTGTAGATGTCTTCTTGTAGATGTGCCTTTGCTCCAGATTCTCCTCCACAATGATGCTGTGAATACTAAATCCAAGACTGAGGGACTGATTACCTTATCTTTTGTATATAGTTCTACTGTCTTCTAATTATGTCCGAGAATCTGTACTGATAAAGCCACTGGATGGCGAAACGTCTACAATAAACATATACAGATGTCTTAACTTTCATATTGTCGGTATTTTATACCTTTCTTGCAAAATTTGTCAGACACTGCAACATCATGGAATCTTGGTACAGAGGACATCTACAAGACCTTCACGGCTGCTACTACTAACCCATCCCTTTGGGTAGGACCTATTTCCACTGGGGAATCCCACCTACCAGTGACTATGCCCTCATCTGCTACACATCCTTATTCACTTATGCCTATATAACAGCCAGTCTTCTTGCCTTTGCTCCAGATTCTCCTCCACCACAATGCTGTGAACACTAAATCCAAAGCTGAGGGACTGATTACCTCATCTTTTGTATATAGTTCTACTGTCTTCTAATTATGTCCAAGAATCTGTATTGATAAAGCCACTGGATGGCGAATGTCTACAATAAAAATATCCAGATGTTGCAAATGTGTCTTAACTTTCATATTGTTGGTATTTTATACCTTTCTTGCACACTTTCGTTAACTAGTTGGCTCTCATTGATGATGACTTCTAAGGTTAGCTGTGATAAAAAGAGAAGTCGTAAGCCTCTTGCTTTAAGTGCCAAGTTAGAGGATGATGGTGCGCCATTCTAATTTTATTCAATAAATACCCTGCCACTCACCTCTCACACATTATTATTAATATTTTAAGGTAAGTAATAAGTGTGTTCTGTGTGTATCTTATCTTTTATTGTGTTTTTAATGCCTATTTCTATTACTAACTTAATATAAGTTAGTGTAAACTTATTGTCTGGCATTTATTGTATATTTTATATGTACTCTGATAATAATACTTGTGGACCTGTGTGGTATCCAGGTGGAGGGACAACATTACATTTTCTCTGCTCAGCCATCAGAGAAAACGTGTATGAATCTGCATTCGGCCCAGCCACCCCCCAACTCCGCTTTTGTTTACAATTTTCAGCATGAATTATTCATTACTTCTCCCTTCGTTTATGATGACATCTAAAAGTAGTTGTTAGAAATGATTAAATTCAGTGAACAAGGTATGTCAATGTTAATAATATGGCTCTGGGCCACAGTGTAGGTAGCCAGTACGTGTAGCCCAGGCAGGCTACACCTACTGGCTACCTACACTGACTTCCTACAAATGCTACTCACCTCTCTTCCTATATTAAGACTACACATATTTTAAGGTAAATAATGAGTGTACTGTATGTGTATTTTACCTCTCTGGGATGTTTTTAATATCGTATAAGTATGAGACGGGGAGCCAGGGCTACCTACACCTGACTTGCTACAAATAAATACTACTCACCTTTCTCCCTACATTAAGATTACAAATACTTTAAGATAAGTAATGAATGTACTGTGAATGTATTTTACTTTGTGTGTTTTTAATGCCTACTTCTATTACTAACTTAATATAATTTAGTGTAAGCTTGTTGTCTGGAATTTATATGCATTTATAACACAATTATCACAATTCATCTAATGTGACATAATAAACAATATAATTAACACAGAAACATGAAATATACTCTAGAATGAATAACATTGGCCATAATATGGTGTAAAGTAAAAGGACACAAGTGCAACTAATGTGACATTTATTGTGGCAACGTTTCGCTCTCCAGGAGCTTTATCAAGCCATTAATGGCTTGATAAAGCTCCTGGAGAGCGAAACGTTGCCACAATAAATGTCACATTAGTTGCACTTGTGTCCTTTTACTTTACATATTGTCGGTAATTCTACCAACTTTATTACATAATATGGTGGCAGAGGCAGTGGCGGCAGCATCCACCATTTTCTGTTCATTTTTGACTATACATATTGCATCTTCTCATGTTCTTATTGTAAGAGAAAATGGAGTATTTTTGAGGCTAACTACAGTAGATCATTAGTTTTCTAAGGAAAACACTGAAAATTATAAACCATAATACACTACAGAATGTAAAGAAATAATAAATTGTTTATATAGTGTATATATGCTTACACACTTGGAGCAGAGATGGTGGGGGAGGTTGATTGTGGAGTAAGTTGAGTATAGAGGAGGTTGAGAGTGGGAGATTCGCAACAACAACATTTTGTTTCATCAGTGAACTTAACTCATACAACTTGTTTTATCACTTAACTGATACAATTTGTTTTGTAAAATCACTAAACATAACTGATACAATATTTTTTGTTAAATCACTGAACATAACTGATACAATTTGTTTTGTTTAATCACTGAACACAACTGATACAATTTGTTTTGTTTAACTTTTCACTTGTTTCATTCTTACTTTTCACTGATTTTTGGCTTTTTCTTCACGCTTTCCTCACTTTCCTCTGCAGGGTGTTTCAATAATAACCTGTAAAAGGAGGTTTGTTTCAGCCTCCCTTTCAGAATGTTTTGGAAATGAGTTAGGCAAATGTCATTAAATAGCTCCAGTGTACGACCAGTTGCAACTTTCTCTGGGTTTCGTTGTAATAAACTCTGGAATTCTCTCCCAGATTTCCAACATTTCCTTTATCTCACTTGTAGAGATAACCTCCACATCTGGCTCCTCCATGGTATGAATGTCCTTCAAAACTTCGTGATGCTGCTGCGTATGTAGTTCATTTAACTCCTCCATCATCAGCTCCTCGGAGTGCTCCTTGATGAGCTTGTCCACATCTTCATCCACCTCCATGCCCATGGACTTTCCGAGGGACACAATCTCGCCCACCACTGCCATTTCAGGTTCGAATCCTTCAAAGTCCCTTTCAGAGACAACCTCAGGCCACAGCTTCTTCCATGCAGATTTCAAGGTCCTCCTTGTAACACCCTGCCAGGCCATATTTATAATTCTGAGGCATATCACAATGTTATAGTGGTCCTTCCAGAACTCTTGAAAGGTCAAGTTTGTGCTCTCCGTCATGTCAAAGCAGTGGTGGAACAGGTGCTTGGTTCCTTCATTCATTAGACATTTGCCGGTAATTCCGGCCCGGGTCTTCTCCAGATGGTGACCCGGCAGTGGCCCCCAGGGCGGGGGTGTCGTTTGTCTTCTTCATTCTTCTATCTTCTCTCTTGGGCCCCCCGGTTGGAGGGTAACTTCTTCTTCTATCTTGCATTGACTCCCCAAGTGGGGAGTGTCTTCTTGCTTGGGATCTTCAGCGTCACAGTTGGGCAGAGACAGAAAACAGGGTCCCATTGGAGCCACACCCCAGCTTTAGCAGGCAGCAAAGTGCTGGGGAAACTTGTCTTGATGGTAGTGCTAGAGGGGGGAACCCTCTGCAGCAAGCTGATTAAACCTGTTCCTCAGTGCTTCGTGGTCGATTCCAGCATTGTTGAGGGCGGAGTAGATACGGTTGGCAAAGTGTTCTAAGTTGGGTTTCACAATGTCGTTGATGTCCTGCTCACATTCTGGAGTTTGCATTGGGTTCTTCTTCTGGTTGGTTGTGCAGTGTCCACCACTCTTGCCCTTGGCTTCTTGTTGCCATGGGGGATTGGCGGTGGCCTGGGGAGCTGCAGCTCTTGGTTCTTGAGTTTTGGCAGTCTTGACCTTGGCTCCTTGTTGTGGTGGAGCAGTGGTAGCGGTGTGGGGAGTTGCAGACCTTGCTTCTTGTGTTTTAGCTTCCTTGGCTGGCGGTTGAGTTGTCCGAGGGAAGGCCTCGGCTTGGATAGTTGCGGTGGCGGTGGAGGCAGGAGGTGGTGGACTCTCATTGGTGCTTGGTGAAGAACTTCTTGAAATTAGAAATCACCTCTTGGTCCATGGGCTTCAGGATCAGGGTGGTGTTGGGTGGAAGAAAGAGAACGTTTATAAACTTAAACTCTTCGAGGATGTCATCTTTGAGGTTCAGTGTGTGAGCAGGCGCATTGTCCAGAACGAGAAGGGCTTGCAGGGGTAGGTTATTTTCCTGGAGATACTTCTTAATGGCAAGACCAAAGACCAGGTTTACCCACTCCACAAAGAACTGCCTGGTGACCCATGCCTTCGGGTTTGCCCTCCACATAACCTGCAGTTTTTCTTTTAGAATCTTGTGTGACTCAAAGGCTCTGGGGTTTTCTGAATGATATACCAGCAGTGGTGTGATTTTGCAGTCGCCACTCGCATTGGTGCACAATGCGAGGGTTAACCTATCCTTCATGGGTTTGTGGCCTGGTATGTTCTCCTCTGCAGTTATGTAAGTCCTTCTTGGCAACTTCTTCCAGAAGAGCCCTGTCTCATCACAGTTGAAGACTTGCTGAGGGAAGTATTCTTCAGCTGCTATCACTTCAGCAAAAAATTTTGAGGAAATCCTTAGCTGCCTTCACATCAGAGCTTGCTCCCTCACCATGCCTAATGACAGAATGAATGCTGGCCCTCCTTTTAAAATTGTCAAACCAGCCCTGACTGGCTTTAAACGACTTTTCTAATGCCTTGTCCGTTGTTTAAACGACTTTTCTAATGCCTTGTCCATTGTTTAAATGACTTTTCTAATGCCTGGGGGTCTGCTGCAGCAAATCAGTTTAAATACCTCATGCCTTCTTGCAGATGATACCCTCAGTTACAGAATCTCCTGCAAGCTGCTTTTCACTAAACCACATCAGCAGCAGCAGCTTCTCCATCTTTTCATGGACAGAGGTCCGCAGCTTAGACATTATTGTAACGCCCTTGGCTGGTGCTATAGCCCTTATTGACTCCTGCTGCTTTAGTAAAGTACATATAGTAGATGTACTTCGCTGGTATTGACTGGCTAAATCCACAACTCGCGAACCTTGCTTATGTTCATTTATGATTTCATTCTTTAATTCCGTCGAAATCTTCTTTTTCTTCTCAGAACTGTCCTTTGCTCTTATTTTCTTAGGACCCATGGTTAGAAAAGCATAATTTGGCCAAATGACTGTCAGAAATGTAAGCAAAGCAGGAGAGAACTGCTTCCACAGCGATGTAAACATGTGTACTGCTTACCGGATTTTTGGAATAGCTGCGGTAATAGCGGTAGCATTCTTAATTATTATTACGTACATATTACATACATAACATATATGTAATTTTAATAATTATTATTGATAATAATTTAGGTAACTGAAGATCTATTGTTAATATAATAATTATTATTATTTTTAATATTATTATTTTTATCATTATTATTATTACTATTTTCATTAATTTAGGGAACTAGAGCACATATCCAATTCCCAGACCAAGAGCCCCTCACCAGTGTCAAGGAACCTTGATGCTGGTGAGGGGCTTCAGTTCCTTAAATTATCAAAAATAATAATTATAACAATAATAATTATTACAATAACTATTGAGCTTCAGTTCCCTAAATTAAAAATAACAATACATTATTATAACGAGAGCTTCAGAATGAAGCCAACTCGGTGCACTGTTTACCTAGCTGTGGGAGCAGTCACCTCTTGCTTTCCTTGCATTTTTGACAGTCATTTGGCCAAATTTTGTTTTTCTAACCATGGGTCCTAAGAAAGTAAGTGTAAGGGACAGTGCTGAGAAGAAAAAGAGGATGATTTCCATGGAATTAAAGCATGAAATCATAGATAAACAAGCGAGATATCCAGATTTTGGATTGAAGGGGAAGCAGGGGGGAGCTGGCTCGTAACTCAAATGTTGGCACGTAACTCCAAGCAAAAAATCGACCCAGGAATGGTTCGTATCTCAAAAAAACTCGTACATTGGGACACTCATAAGTCAAGGTTCCACTGTATTATAATCTTTCAAGGTAAGTGTTTGTGTTTTGGTACGAGTGTGGGGAAGGGGTGGAATAATGCTGTGACTAGTATTGTAGTTGCAGTGCTCATGAGGAAACAAACTTTTATAAATCAAAACTTGCATGAACAGGAAATACAGTGGTACCTCGGGATACGAACTGCTCAAAACACAAACACTTGTTTAAGTGTATTTATGTAAGTACTTTTGTAAGTGTATTTTTGGGGGGCTGAAATGGATTAATCTAATTTACATTATTCCTTATAGAAACAAATTCGTTCGGTATTAGCACTCGAACAGCCTTCTGGAACAAAATAAGTTCATATTCCAAGGTACCACTGTATAAATATGAGGGACATGATCATTTACACAGCTGGAAGACAGAAACAATTATTTTCCAGATAGTTCTTCAACATCTTATTACATAACATGTTACAATGTCTTCTAATCGTGGTAAGATTTTACTCACATGAGATTTCTCATGTGCATAAATCAAATTAAAATGAGAAGATTTCTACACTTTTATGATTTACTAAATTAGAGGTATGGAAAAACTTTTTTAAATATGTTGAACACTGATCTCTCTCAAGTATGACTTCTTATGTGTCTTACCATACTTGATTTTTCATTCAAGTCATTCTGCACACTGATATTGTTTCTCACCATTGTGAGTTCTCAAGTGAATAACCAAACTTGATTTTCGACTAAAGTCCTTCAGACATTCTGAACACTGATGTGGTTTCTCTCCAGTATGAGTTCTCATGTGTCTTACTAAATCCCTTTTACTAGCAAAGTCTTTCAGACAATTTGCACACTGATATGGTTTCTCTCCAGTATGAGTTCTCATATGACTTACTAAATGTGATTTTTGATTAAAGTCCTTCAGACATTCTGAACATTGATATGGTTTCTCTCCAGTATGAGTTCTCATGTGCCTTACTAAATCACTTTTACAAGGAAAGTCTTTCAGACAATATGCACACTGATATGGTTTCTCTCCAGTATGAGTTCTCATATGACTTACTAAATGCGATTTTTTATTAAAGTCCTTCAGACATTCTGAACATTGATATGGTTTCTCTCCAGTATGAGTTCTCATGTGCCTTACTAAATCACTTTTACTAGTTAAGTCTTTCAGACAATATGCACACTGATATGGTTTCTCTCCAGTATGAGTTCTCATATGACTTACTAAATGTGATTTTTGATTAAAGTTCTTCAGACATTCTGAACATTGATATGGTTTCTCTCCAGTATGAGTTCTCATGTGTCTTACTAAATCACTTTTACTAGGAAAGTCCTTCAGACATTCTGAACATTGATACGGTTTCTCTCCAGTATGAGATCTCAAGTGTTTTACAAAAAATTTTTTATGAGGAAAGTCTCTTAGACATTCTGAACACTGATATGGTTTCTCTCCAGTATGAGTTCTCATGTGCCTTACTAAATCACTTTTACAAGAAATTTCTCTTAGACATTCTGGACACTGATATGGTTTCTCTCCAGTATGAATTCTCATGTGACTAACTAAACTTGATTTATCAGAAAAGTCTCTTTGACATTCTGAACACTGATATGGTTTCTCTCCAGTATGAGTTCTCATATGACTTACTAAATGTGATTTTTGATTGAAGTTCTTCAGACATTCTGAACATTGATATGGTTTCTCTCCACTATGAGTTCTCATGTGTGTTACTAAATCCCTTTTAAGAGAAAAATCTTTTAAACATTCTAGACACTGATATGGTTGCTTGTCAATATGAGCTTTTATATGACTTACTAAATAAGATTTTTCAATGCAGTCTCTTGGACATCCTGAACAATGACATGGTTTCTCTTCAGTATGAGTTCTCATATTTTGAACTAAATTATTTTTTTGAGAAATCTCTTTTAGACACACTGAATACCGAATTTTTATTTTGCCCATCATAAATCTGATCAGAGATACACAATGAGGTAGTTGTTTTAGTATGTGTGAATGTTGATATAATGTGCCTCCTTCATTACCCTTTCACTGTTGAGAACCCTGCTCACAAACTTGCTCTCAGTGTCGAAAAATTAAAAAAAATTATTTTTTCTTATGAAATGATAATCTTTTCACAGTGGTATTGACACCAAAAATATGAAATTTTATGGAAAACTTACAGAATTACACTCTCGTGAAGTTAGCGGTCTCGGCAATATTTATGCATTGGCGATTTTGCCCACTTTGAGACCTATTTTCACCCAATTCCAAGAAACCGCCCATTTACCGATTTCATCTACCCAATAAAGTGGTCAGAAATTGGCAGTTTGGCCAATTTCACACAAATTTCATAAGATGCAAATTTCAAAATACGGTCCAGAATAAACAATGCAGACATTAATTTTTTATTCACACAAAAAATAGATTTACTGTTATGCAGATTACTGCATTATTGTAATAATTGTATAATTAATATCAACCCATTCGTGACTGCATATTATACTGTCCAGTTGGACACATTGGATGGTGATGTCATTTGTCTACTCTTGAATATTGGCAAAAATCAAACATTTTCGTTACATTAAGCTCAATTTCAAGATATGTTTCATCATGAAACCAATCAAAATCATCTCTATTTCCCTAACATATCTTCCATTCTATCAAATGCGACCAAGAAAATCCACCTCAAAGTTGGCGTTTTAAGCCAAAAATATTGTTGGAGTTTTTTTTTCTCATTATGCACTGCATGCTGAAGGATTTTTTTATGCTGCACACACTGACCACGCAGATCCACTCTCTCATGTGTAGATCTACTAGCTCTCCCCAGTTAGATTTGAAGCTGCTAGAATTTTGGAGTATTAGTACGTCATTAACACTGGCTTGTAAGCTGTACCACTACATCACCAACAGTGAAAGGGTTAACAACTGTGCACTGTGATGCTTCAACACATTGTTTTTGTTGTGAATGTTAATTTAGTGTCTCTCTTACAGAAACTGTACATTGTTTTGCTTCAACACATTTGTTTTTATGTGAATGTTGATTTAGATGGTCTCCTTCATGAACAATTATACATAGTGTTGCTTCAACATATTGTTTTTTTAGTATTTTAGATAGAGTAAATGATATTCTGACATTAATTAAATTACTTAAGTAGAATATTTTATTACACTGCAAAAAATATTTGTAATATTTTATTATAAATATAAGAAGCACTAAACATGTGAACATAATACAGTGTCTGAGGAACATGAAGGAAGACACTAAGAGATATTTCAGGGTTTATGACACATTAACCTTATGGCACTGTTGTTGGCACTGTAAATGTTGTATTACCAAAACTGTTGTTACAGTGTTGTGACTATTAACACTATAATTATTGTTGTCACTATTATAAACATTGTTGTGTCACTATATTAACACTGGTGTTGTCACTGTATTAACACTGTAATGTCACTGAATTAATACTGTAGTGTTGTCACTGTATTTACACAAAGTGTTGTCACTGAGTTAATATCATTGTAGTTTTGTGTTGTCACTTATTATTAACACTGTATGCAACATTGTCACTCTAAAATCAAGTGTAATTAGTGTTGTCACTGTATTATTCACTATAGTTATTGTCACTATTATTAACAATGTAGTTAGTGTTGCCATAATATTACCATCATTGTATTTAGTGCTGTAACTTTATATTAATTACAGAATTTACAGGACGTTTCTAACACTGATACTGGCACTACAAGTGCTAGATTCTTGTGCCATCATGACCTGCATTGCTGATACTGCAAGTGTCAGGAAGACCTGCAGTACTGATACTACAAGTGTCAGGAAGACCCGCAGTACTGATACTACATGTGCCAACCTCTTGAAAAAGTAAACATGCAGCACTGACACTAAAAGTTCCTCTTTCCTGGCTTCTTCCACAATAACCTAAAGAAAGGACAGAATGACCTGCACTGCAGAGACTACAAGTACCAGCTTCTTGTACCAGGATGAAATGCAGTATTGATGCTACACATACCAGTCTCTTGTACCAGGATGACCTGCAATATTGACACTACAAATGCCATTTTCTGGTGCCAGGCTCACCTGAAAAAAATTATATATTTTTTTAACACAGCCATTTTCCACCAAGGCAAGGTGACACTACAGTTAAAGAATTGCAACATATCAATACCAATCCTTCAGAGTACAGGCATTTTACCTCCCATCTCCAGGACTCAAGTCCAGTCTGTAGGTTTCCCTAAATCCGTTCATAAATGTTACCTTGCTCACACTCCAACAACAAGTCAAGTCAAAAAAAACATTTGCCTCTACTAGCTCCTAACATGCTCATGCATGCTTGCTGAAAGTCCAAACCCCTTATGCACAAAACCTCCTTTACCCCTCTCTCCGATCTTTCCTAGGCCAACCCTTACCCCACCTTCCTTCCATTACAGATTTATACATTCTCGAAGTCATTCTATTTTGTTTCATTCTCTCTCAATGTCTGAACCACTTCAACAACCCTACTTTTAGAAACTTTGCACCTCCTCCTAATTTCTAAACTACAAATTCTCTAAATTATATTCACACTGCTCATTGTCCTCAAGACACATATCCACTGCCTCCAGTCTTCTCAATGTTGCAACATTCAGCACCCGTACTTCACACCCACATAAGAGCATTGGTATATCTATACTTTCATAAATTACCATCTTGAAATCCATGGATAATGTACTTCGTCTCCACAGCCCAGTCAGTGCACCACTCACCTTTTTCCCCTCATCAGTTCCATGATTCACCTCATCTTTTATAGACCAATCTACTGACTAGACCACTACCAAATATCTGAATACTGTCACTCCCTCCCTCCAATCTGATATCCAATCTTTCATTAGCTAAATTTTTTATCTCAACACCTTACTCTTTCATATGTTCACTTCCAATTCCTTCTTTTACATACTCTACCAACCTCTGCATTTTCACTTCTGAATCTAACAAAAAGCACAGTGTCATCAGCAAAATGCAACTGTGAGAACTCCCACTTTGTGTAACAGCTGACCATCATTTAGCCCTTTCAGGGCTAAATGATGGTCAGGGTCGAGAGGCACTCTCCCAAACTCGTTCTCAGGTTTGAAAATTTTTTGGAAAATATTATTTTTTCTTATGAAATGATAGTATGCAATTTGATGGAAAACTTATGGAATTATGCTCTTGCAAAGTTAGCAGAATTGACACTATTTAGGCATCAGTGATTTTGCCACTTTGAGCCCTATTTTCAGCCAATTCCAATGCTTCAGTCTACTAAAATCATAGCTATTTCACTAGAATTCCATTTGGTTTATCATTTGAGTACAAGAAACCACCCATTTACTGATTTCAACTACCCAATAAAGTGGTCAGAATTTGGCAATTTGCCAATTTCACACAAATTTCAAAAGATGCCAATTTCAAAATAGGATCCAGAATAAACAAGACAGACATTCCTGGCACTAAAATAACATTTTATCTGCTCATTAGTCACATCTGCAGGCCCCTCTTACATTACTTTTGCTTCCCATTTTGAATTTTTATTCTCACAAAAAATAGAAGATTTACTGTTATGTATACTACTGCATCATTGTAAAAATGGTATAAATAATATCAGCGCACTTGTGCAAGAATATTAGACTCACCAGTTGACGAGTATTGGATGCATGGCGTGATTTGTTCACTTTTCAACATGGGCAAAAATCAAACATTATCGCTACTTAGTGCTCAATTTCAAGGTACTTGTCATCATGAAACCAATCAAAGTTATCTCTATTTCTGTAATATATCTTCCATTCTATCAAATGAGACCAAGAAAACGAGAATTCAACCATAAACACTACACAAAAATAGACTGCAAATTTACCGTTTTAAACAAAAACACGATCTTTTTTTTACTCATTATGCACTGTGTGCTGCAGGATTTTTTTCATAATGCCCACACTGACCATGCAGACCCATTCTTTCACATCAACGCCTACGAGCCTTTTCCCGCTTGATTTGAGGGTGCTAGAATTTACGCGTACTAGTAAAAAGTGAAATGTAAAGTGAATATGTAATTGTAGTTCATTGTGATGTATAATGTTGTTTTTACTGCTTAAGACTACAAATGCAACAGAAATAATAATATTTCTTACCTTAAATTGTGGTTGCTGATGTTTGTGGATGATTGTGAAGAGAGTGGAGAGTTATGCTGTGGCCCTACTGGGCTGAGGTGGATGATAGAGGTTCTGGTACTGAAGTCAATGGTTGTACTCGAGCGAGCATAAATTCTATAATGGATTTCTGTTCTATTTTACCCTGCAGTACATTATACAACTGATAGTAAGGCATCAGCTGCTCTAGACACTGTTTCAAGGTCCACTTCAGTGAAAAAGTCTAACTTAAAGTCAATCAGTAAGTCAGTAAGTCAGTCAGTCAGTAAGTCAGTCAGTAAGTCAGTCAGTAAGCCAGTCAGTCAATATGTTGTGGTCAGAGGTCATGTGTGGTCACTGCCCTAAGCTGTCTGGGTATTACCGTGGGGTGTTACTGAGCACCATGGTCTGCTGAAGTTTTGGAATCTCAGGTTAAAGTGTTGAAGAAGGAGGTTCTACTTCTATAGAAGGAAAATAGGAGGCTGAAGCTTTGCCTAGATGGGTTAGGGAGTGAGAGTGCGATGGTGGGAGCTGGTGAGGAAAAGGATACTAGCAGTGAGCTAAAGAGTGGCAGTGCTTTAAGTGGCAAGTGGTTAACAGTTCAGGAAGAAGGAAGATAAAGAAGGTTAATAGAGATGTGAAGGTAGGAAATCGATTCCCTGTTCTGCAGGACGAGTGTACTTCAGTGGTTAGTGAGGTTAAGGTACCTCTCACTCTCCTGCTAATCAAGGTAAGAATATTCTGATTGTGGGAGATTTCAGGTAAGATATATGGACAGGGCCGGATTATGGATTACCGCATAGGCAAACTAGGCATTTGCCTAGGGCCCCGCACATTTGGGGGCCCCGCGGTCCAAGGGGTTCAGGGGCTCATCCAAGACTGCGCACATGGTACAAGTGCAAAGGGGTCCCTACCTAAAAAGTTCAAGTGTTTGGAGAGTAAAATTGATTTTTAAAAATTAATCAAAACAAAAATAAATAATGAAATAAAATAAAATAAAAATAAATAAACCTAATCATAGTGGCAACACTAACATGGGCCCTTTTTTTACATCAGAACAGCTGTGTTTTTCCCGCTAATGGGTGAGTATGGGAGATTCCTCTCCAATTTTCTGTAGTAATTACACGTTATCTAGACTTGTACTGTGACAAACTAACTGAAGTGTTGTTGATAGACATTGATGTGTATGGATAAATGTTTGTTTTCACCTCTAAATGTTAAGGGAGGTACCTGATAGGGTTACTTGACCAGTAAAGATGCATGGACCAGTAAAGATACATTTTTGGTAAAAATACTATAAAGAAAAACCTAAAAACGCAAACTGACTTCCATTTGTAGGTTTTAAAAGCACTCTGTCCTGTCTTTAAGTCTTTATCATTTCAATAACAGATCTCTATTGATTGATGTTCTACATCACTTCCGTCGCAAATGCTTAGTTTTCAAGTTGCGATGGAAGTGATGTAGAACATCAATTAATTTACTACATATTTCCCCAGAAACACATAAGCCACATCAGAAAATCGTTGGTTGGGTGAAACTGAAAATTGTCCCTGCTTTCTTTAATTCTCATGTCCTTATCTATGGTGGTAGGCCATATATCATGCAAAACATAATGATTAGTTTAGTTATGAAAATGGTAATATAAATACCATTGTGCATTGTTCTTGGACTCGTAAAAGTTCTGTATATGACTCCTTTCTGGTAACGTTTTGAATTTTTAGATGCACAGCCAGAGGAAAGGGGGCTACAAGGGCCATATCCCCCCAATTGACAGAAAAAAAAAATTAATAATAATTAAAAAATTAATAATAATTGATAATGCAAAATTTGTATTTGCATGATTACAGACAGTGATACATCCTCATTATGGCATCTCGTGAACGTGATGTTGGACGTTCTTAAGAACATAAGAACATAAGAAAGGAGGAACACTGCAGGAGGCCTGCTGGCCCATACTAGGCAGGTCCTTTACAATTCATCCAACTAACAAAACATTTGCCCAACCCAATTTTCAATGCTACCCAAGAAATAAGCTCTGATGTGCAAGTCCCACTCAAATCCAACCCCTCCCACTCATGTACTTATCCAACCTAAATTTGAAACTACCCAAAGTCCTAGCCTCAATAACCCAACTACCTCATCAACTACCCTATTCCAAACCAATATTTTCCTATGTCCTTTCTAAATCTAAACTTGTCTAATTTAAATCCATTACTGCGGGTTCTCTCTTGGAGAGATATCCTCAAGACCTTATTAATATCCCCTTTATTAATACCTATCTTCCACTTAAACACTTCGATCATGTCTCCCCTCATTCTTCGTCTAACAAGTGAATGTAACTTAAGAGTCTTCAATCTTTCTTCATAAGGAAGATTTCTAATGCTATGTATTAATTTAGTCATCCTACGCTGAATGTTTTCTAACGAATTTATGTCCATTCTGTAATATGGAGACCAGAATTGAGCTGCATAAACCATACCCCCGGCCGGGATTGAACCCGCGGTCATAGAGTCTCAAAACTCCAGCCCGTCGCGTTAGCCACTAGACCAGCTAGCCACAATAAGATTCATCCAACTAGGTATATTTCTACACCATAGGAAGGTTAGCACAGGCACCTCTGTGACCACAAATGCAAGTTTTTACAGACGAATCTCCAGCTAGCGTGGCCGTGACGAACTCTAGCTCAAGTCCCTTCACTGCCGTCAACATGACTTAAGAAATCGTAATGACACGATTGCAAATAAACCATACCCCCGGCCGGGATTGAACCCGCGGTCATAGAGTCTCAAAACTCCAGCCCGTCGCATTAGTCATGTTGACGGCAGTGAAGGGACTTGAGCTAGAGTTCGTCACGGCCACGCTAGCTGGAGATTCGTCTGTAAAAACTTGCATTTGTGGTCACAGAGGTGCCTGTGCTAACCTTCCTATGGTGTAGAAATATAC